CACCTTGTAGGAGACTTCAGAAAGAAGATTCTGGAGCACATGGAGTTAAGGCAACCATCCATCCATCCATCCATCGTCAACCGCTTATCCAGTCCATCGCAGGGGGTTAAGGCAACCAACAACAGTAGTACCTGCAGTAGTACCTGCAGCCTGGTCTGCTGACCACTGAGCAGTTGGGGTTATGGGCTTTGCTCAAGGGCACCTCAGTGGTGTGCATTTAGGCACGCATATACAATATTATAAGAGAAAAGGAAAATTTAAACAACCACAAATGACCTTACATCAGTAAGCAAATCCTTCAAAATGGCAATTTATGATGTGTCTTTATGATCTTATCTGTGTCAAAACTCCAGTATCTCACAATGTATTAGAATTTTATAAGTAACTTATAATACCAAAATATCAACCTGAATCTATCTATCAGCTAGCATGCGATACAGCGCCCTGGATTCTTTTCAGTACTCTGCATCGTATAGTAGGCTATCAGTTGTGCTGCTTTTAACCGTTTTACACTTTAGGAACACTTTATCAAAACTATATCAGCTTTACATAAGATGGTGCAGATGTGTAATTTTTAACCTTTTATAACTGAAAATCCTTTGCTTCAAGTGTGTATATTTATAACTATAATTATGACAAAGAGGTAAATCTTATGAAATGGCAGTATATATTTACTAAAGTTTTTAAAATAAAGATAAAAAATAATAAAATGAAATAAAGTCACCTTTAGAGTTGTAATTGATGTCCCTTAAATTACCTTAACATATCAAAACATCAGGCTGTACCTTTAAAACTACTGATGGAAACTTAAAACTTCTCTGCACTTCTCTAATACATTGTGAGATACTGGAGTTTTGATTTCCCTGAGAGGTAAACCATCATCATCAAGATGAAGGGGTAATGAATTTAGAATATATGATATTTCATTTTTTTAAATTACATTTATTTTCTGTCAACCAGCTTCCAGTAGGGCTCTTCAGCTCCTGTTTTACTTTGCCTTTTCTTTATAGTCCACCTAACACCTGAACACTTGATTGAACACTTGAACTGATTAAATTAAAACATACAAATTATGACCCTGGGTTCCTCATCATTATAGTAACTCTTACAACACTTACAAGCAAATTATTTCAAGTCATACAAAGCTAATTTTACATTTGTAACCTTTTAATACTGATGTTTTCATGAATGCAAGACAAGAGTTTTCGATTGATCAACTATTGCTTGTGCATTAGGAATAATGCTCTTGGTTGAGTAGGGGCTTTGGAGGATCTAGTTGATGCTCTCTGAGTTGAACACCCCACTTCTTGAACTTCAGGTATCCTTATTAGATATCCAATGTGTAGGAGATGGTCTCGATGGAGGGTTTTTACTATCCCTCTTCCTCCTTCTGGCCTCACTCGATACACAGGAAAGTTTGGAAGGTTCCACTTATAGTTTATGTTTTCCTGGGACTCCCAAAGCTCTAGCAAGTACTCTGTCACCTTCTTGCAGGTGGTGGACTTGAACTCTGTTGTGATAGCCGCGCTTGTTTGGTTCTTATGTGATTTGGTTCTTCTGATGCCACGTGGTATACCTGACACAACTCCCCTCTTAGCCCTTCCACTTTGTCGGTGGGTTGTTGTATCCTCTCCATCCACAGATACACCAAAACACACATCAACTGGCAGGCTCTCTGCCAGGTAATATGGCGAATATCCCATCTCCTCATTAGGGGTGCTGTTGTAGGGGTGCACCATGAGAGCTACATGATGACTCCATCTCTGCTTGTGTTTAGGATCGAGAGTTCCCGGCATGGATAAAAGGGTGTGATTGAATTGCTCACACTGGGCGTCTCCCTGCAGGTGGTAAGGGATAGTTCTTGATTTTCTTATACCCAACAGAGTTAGGAGCTCTTTTATGAGTTGATTCTCAAAGTCTTGTCTTTGTTCAGAGTGGAGGCGAGCAGGAAGACCATAATAGACAAAGAACTTCTCCAACAGTACTTTTGCAACTGTTGAGGCTCCCTGGTTGGTGGTGGGGAAAGCCTGGGCATACTTGGTGAAATGGTTGGTGACCACTAGGACATTAGCCACTACTTTTTTATTTCGTTGTGCTGGCTGGTAGCCTTTTGTCAGGTCTGTCAGGGGTCTCACAATGGCAGAGTAGTTCGCAATAAATCGTCTGTTGTATTCGCAGAAACTAGGAAAAACTGCAGGGTCAGGTTGATCCCATTGGGTGACGGCTCTGATTTTCTCAGGGTCAGTGACTATTCCTGAGGCCAGGGCTGGACTGGTAATCTGGCATACCGGGCGAACCTTTGGGGCCGGTGTAACGTAAATTATTTATGTAAATAGGGTCTGTCCCCGACTAAGGATTTACATAGTCGAGTCAGAATCGTCAAGTCCTGCCTGTTGAGCACCCCCAAATGGCCAAAATGGCATGATCATTGTTTTGTTTCGAAGCTTCGACTGTGAGATTGACAGTCGATTCAGGCTCTGCCCATCAAAGCATCAAATCTTCGACTATTGGGGGTCAGCCCTTTATGTATATAACTGTTTTTTAAAAAAAATGACAGGCCCATAAAGCATTAACAGCAGCCCATTTGGTAATTTTCTATACAGACATTGGGCTGGCCCAATCACATCACTTACTGGCCCCCACACCCTCTGCTCTCTGTTTCTTGAGTTGTGGGCCCCCAAAAAATCGGAGCCCGCCAAATGCACGAAAATAACGATATCTTTGCTACTGGGGCTGCAGTAGCTTCAACATCAGCTGCAGTACCCTGCGTAGTGCAGTCACAGGCACTTGAAGGAGTAAAGGAGACCATGGCCACTGCCAGGCAGAGGAGGAGGCGTGTGTTAGTGAAGCAGAGTGACAAAGTGACAGGAGTGAGAGAGAGCAGGAGGAGAGTGGAGGTGAAGTGGTGAGCATGGAGTAGCTCAGCCTGTAGGGAGGGAGCAGGGAGGAGGGTCATGCTGGGGATATGTAGGCTCCCCGCCACTTTTTGAAAGCATTTGTTAAAAATGTTCTGAAAAATAGCTTGCACCAAGAAATGTTAATTAACATATAAATATTAATGCTATGAGAAAGTTTTTTGCACAATAAACCTGCAATGCAAAGTAAATATAGAAGAAACGTCTGCGTTGTCCAAAAAAAGTAACTTAAGCTAAATAAATAAGCTGCTGATTACTGCATTATATTCTATTATATTTTTATATTTCCAATTGTCACCTGCCTACAGATTAAATGGAAGAATGGTGTATTTGTGGGCCGCCTGGGCCAAAAATGCCCGGGCCGATTTTCTGTCCCAGTCCAGCCTTGCTAGAGGCAGACACAATATGGCCGACATATTTAACGTGAGGCTGGCAGAATTGGCATTTGGATAACTTGAGGCCGTATTCCTGCAGCCTGTCCAGCACCTTAAGGAGGCGTTCCTCATGTTCTTCCAGCTTCTACATACTCTTCCCCACCATTGTTAATTGAACCACTTTTTGCCTCTACCTCATTACAGTTTTTCTCAGTTGCTTTGGTACATTTCTCGAATCATCCTTAACATTTCCAAAACAGTAAGAGCATTTCTCGAAACAGGTAGTGCAAACGGAACAGCACAGTGGATTACCTGCAAAAGCCCATAACTTGCTCAAAATCCTTAGTCTCTCTCTCAAAAGCAAATCTTTATGTCATTGAACTTCTCAGTGCCATCAGAACGACAAGTCTTTTCTGATGTACACTTTGGCTAAGATTTTAATGACAATGATTGAAAATGCAATCATGCATTGTAATTATAGTGTGATTTGTTGTGTCATTGGTTAGCTCACTTGGTAGAACATAGGCCTTATAGCTTTAAGGTTGTGTGCTCAATTCTCACTGAAGACTAAATTTTTCTTTTATATTTTCATAATCCTCTTCAACAAAGTTATGAAAAGACTGTTTCACATGCTCACATTACTGTAAAGCACATGCTGGACTATGTGCGTTCTTGGTCCACATCCATCAACCTATGGACTTTTCATTTCGCCATCATTCCCAGGCAGAGGAAATTCCTTCTCACTCATTGGAATCCATGTAACATTACACATTTCCTGACGACTTTCGGAAACCTTTGAAATAGCCGTCGGGAAATGTGTGATTGGATTCCCCTCAGTCTCTTCATAACAAATTTGCTGAAGAGGATAATACACACAAAAGAAGAAAAAGAAAGTCAACAAGAACAGGAATCAAACTGAGCCCTGTGCTCTACCCACTGAACTAACCTGTGACACTGGTAATTGCTTTGAAATTATCCTAAAGAAACGCACCTGCCAGCCCCTGTATTCAGCTATGAGAAAATTAATTATCCTGTTCTCAGGGGAAAACAATATTCGTTTTATATATATATATACATAAATATTACTGCTCACTGTGTATTGTTACTGTTTGCTGGTATTGAGTATTGGTATGAGTGCTGCTATTGTGATGTTGTTGTGGTCTATTCTTACTTTGTTTATGGTCCTTAAGAAACAACATTTGGTTTAGCTACAGTATATACTTGTAGGCAAAGTATATGAATAAAGTATTTTAACTTTGATTTTTGAAAACGTGTTCAAACATTTTGCATGTAGTGACAAATGCAATGAACTTATGCCTAGATGGGGGGTAAGATTGTTCAACAGAGACTGGTATAATTCGTTGTGATCAGCAGGACATAAGCAATTGATAATGTAGGAAACAGCAGACAGTTGTACATAATCATTTGCATCAGTGTGTCAAGTCATTTGCAATTTGTTCAACAATGAGAAAGTGCTTTTATGATGTGCACAAGTGATGAGATGATGTGGAGGTTGAACAATTAGTTTTGAGAATTTCAATTCTGATCTGAGAAATGAACCAAGCGACTGAGAAAAACTGTAAAGTCATTTGATGGCTGGTCAATGATATAAGTGTCAAAGGCTAAGGTTTCATTTTCAACAATTTCAGAGCAATGCACAGTCTGTTGATTTTTTAAATGATGTCCCAGGTGAGTGAAAAAACTTCCCTCAGTCCAGGTTTCTCCAAATTAGCATTACTCACAGAAAAAGGTGTGATTTTAATGCGACACAGTGAGCTCCTCTTCCGTGTCATAGTCTACGGCTCAATAGATCTTGTTGACTTGAGCTGAGAAAACCGCAGAACCCACACACACAGGATAACTGCAAGGACAATGAGAAATAAAAGGCAACTTAGTTAATTTACTTTTAATGGATCTCTACAACAAAATATTCTCACACACTTCAACAGTGTACTGTGCACGACCACAATGCCTTCTATTTAGGCTGTGTATTTACTGTATTTCCTTAAATTGTGATTTGAAATTTAAACTCTGCAGCAAAACAAACACACACCTTACCTTCTCTAGTGTGTTGCACGTTCCCATGCACTGTATTTACCGTCTCTCTCGCACTCACTGGCTACTGGCTCACCGACTGCGAGGAGATATTCCATGGGTTCAACAAAAAGTTTGTTTATTTCTCATTTACAATTTTTAATTCAATATACTTTTTGTGTACATCAACTTACTCTGCTAGCTGTCTGTTCTGTGTTTTTCCGGAAAAAAAATTCACAGCCTTGCCTCTGAAAATTGGAAATAAACATAGCGACTCTGCATGTGAACATACCTACTGTATCTAGCACACGGGAGAGGGTTGTGGTTGGTGGAACCTCAGTACACCTTTCCCGGTGAGACTGACCACGGAGCAGCTTCACAGGACAACAGCTGTAAGAATTTAGCATTTAGAGATAAACAAATTAGTTTTTATACATTTTGTGAGGAAAATGCAGGGTCAACACTGTGTGTGGGCATGTGCGGGCATATGCACCATAGACTGTGTAAAAAAAGGTACACACTCGCACAGTTGTCAGTTTATTAGGTACACCAAGAACTAATTCAGTGTTATACAGCTCTGAAATAAATCCTTCCTTCATGAGGATTATAATGAGTCTTTTTGAGTCATGGTATAATTTACACTGAGAAGTGTTCCAAATATTTAGTCCATCCTATACATACATATAAAAAAAGTACAGTTGACAAAATGTTAAGAACACCTCTCAGTATAACCCCATGGTTAACTAGCACCATAAACAACCTTCAAATTGACCATTAAAATAATTTAATAACTCTGTCAAACAGATTCAATAAACTTACCACCACAATACCTATCAAAGAAAGGTTTTAATGCAGAGCCATTGTATTGCATTGCATTAGTTTTGTGTATGTGTACTTAATCAATTCTAAAGAGTGTGTAACATAACTAGCAAATGCCTTGACAAAATGACATGGTTGCTGGGGCATACTTAAATACATTTATGGGAAACCCTGTAGGGTAACGTTATATGGCCATAAAAAATAAATTACGGTAGTTAGCAGTATTTATTTTGATGTAATACATAAATGAATAGTGGTTCAAAGTTCTCTGAGCTCCTCTTCAGCCATGGAAATTTGGTTCTGAGGTCTAATACCGAAAACCAACGTCTTCCTGTCAAAGAGTCCAAGGCATCATCGATTTGGGGGACAGTATACTATACTGAGAATGGTACGTGCGTTGAGAGTGCGGAAATCTATGCACATCCTGATGGAGCCATTCTTTTTTTCTTGCCACCACAATCGGCGACGCATAAGTGTGACTCTTTGATAATTCCTGCAGCAAAAATAGCTTTTGCAGGTGGTGCCGCACATCATCTATATCGGCTGGCGCAAGACGTCTTCATCTGAAAGGTCAAGGGTCACTGAGGCGGATGTTATGTTCTACACCTTTAGCCAGTCCCACATCCCATTCTCCAAGGGAAAATAGTCATCTATGACTAATATCTTGCTCCCATGGCTCCTTGGCAGTTACTTAGCAGGCAGCAAATACTGCACCTCCGGAAGGAATTTTAAGTGGTCCATGGCCCACCCATCTTACTTCTGCAACACTGTCATTTTTTGGCCCATGACTGGGCTGGGCCTTTTCTCCCTGCTTCAACTTTAGTCTTGGGACCATGGTGGAAACTCCTGGCATTAGCATGTATATGTCACGGCCAATACCCCAAGCTGGCTCTGCAGGTCCTCTACTTGTTTCTTTAGTGCCTGTACATTTGGCTCCTTTTTCAGCCTGTGTTGCTTTAAAGTCTTTAGTTATAGTGGTGGTCTTCAATTGTCCAGCGGTCAGCTCAGCCACCTGGGCCCGCAGTGCATTAATCTGAGCTCTTAAATCTTGGCCGCGTCAGGAAGGAGGGGCGGTCAGTCTTCCTCTCTCTTAGCTGTAGAAGCATTATGTCTGACTCAGTTGCCCCATGATCTATCTATCGTTCTCGTTCTATCTTGAAATGCATTGAATTCACCCATACACACATATTCATACACTGATGGCAGAGGCTAAGGTAATTGTAAATGTAAATGCTCTGTATTTATATAGCGCCTTTTTCTAGTCTTTCGATCACTCAAAGAACTCTTACACTACATCAGACTTAAAACCAGAGATGATCGAGTCTTTGGTGTCCTTTGTGATGTCCTTCTTTTGTTTCCCTTTGACAACATGTGCTTCATAAGTCCGGCTCCGCACCTTGGTAGATCAGTCTTTAGCTACTGTAGCTAGCCAGTCCCCGGGAGTCGGTGCGGAACGGCCTGAGTTAGCCTCTGGTAGCCGTCCCCCGGCATCCCCTGTGCAGCCAGGAAGGGGAGGCTGGGCATTCAAAGCCCACGGGGCACCACTAACCTGTTCACGTTTCTAACAGATTTTCCCCACTCAGCGACACACCTGGTGAGAAACCAACTCTGATCATTGGCAGCTCCATTTTGAGAAACGTGAAGTTAGCGAAGCCAGCGGCCATAGTTAAGTGCATCCCTGGGGCCAGAGCGGGCGACATTGAGTCTTATTTGAAACTGCTGGCTAAGGATAAACGTAAATACAGTAAGATTGTTATTCACGTCGGCGGTAATGACTCCCGGTTACGCCAATCGGAGGTCACTAAGATTAATGTTGAGTCGGTGTGTACATATGCAAAAACAATGTCGGACACCGTAGTTTTCTCTGGACCCCTGCCAAATCTGACCAGCGATGACATGTATAGCCGCATGTCGTCATTCCGCCGCTGGTTGTCGAGGTGGTGTCCAGCAAACGATGTGGGCTTTGTTGATCATTGGCAGACTTTCTGGGGAAGACCTGGTCTGATCCGGAGAGACGGCATCCATCCCACTTGGGAAGGAGCAGCTCTCATTTCTAGAAATCTGGCCAAGTTTTTTGTGGACCAAATCCATGTCAACCCAGGAGGCAGAGTCGCAGTCTAACACACTTCTCTGCCCTTCTAATTCAGCAGTTACCCACCCAAAACCCTACACAGAGTCGCAGTCTAACACACTTCTCTGCTCCTCCATTTCAGGAGTTACTTAGTGAAAATACTATAGTGACAGTGTCTGTCCCCCGACCATTGAAATTATTTAAAAAGGTAAACAGAAGAGGAGCTGTGCATAAAAACCTCATTAAAATTAAAACCACAAGAGCAATAGTGCAAACGAATAGGAGAGTTAAATGTGGACTCTTAAACATCAGATCTCTCTCTTCTAAAGGTGTACTAGTAAATGAACTAATATCAGATTATGATATTGATTTATTTGGTCTTACTGAAACCTGGCTGGGTGATGGAGAATATGTTAGCCTAAATGAATCCACCCCTCCCAGTCATATTAATACTCACATTCCTCGAGGCACAGGCCGAGGAGGTGGAGTTGCAGCTATCTTCGACTCTAGCCTACTAATCAGCTCTAAACCTAAACTAAACTATAACTCATTTGAAAGCCTTGTTCTTAGTCTTTCACACCCAAGTTGGAAATCACTGCAACCAATTCTCTTCGTTATAGTGTACCGAGCACCTGGCCCGTATTCTGAATTCTTATCTGAATTTGCAGAGTTTCTGTCAACTTTAGTCCTTAAAACGGACAAAGTTATTATTGTAGGGGATTTTAATATTCATGTGTAGGTTGAGAATGACAGCTTTAGTACTGCGTTTATCTCTCTGTTAGATTCCATTGGCTTCTCTCAGAGTGTTCATGAACCGACTCACTGTTTTAACCACACCCTCGACCTTGTTTTGGTGTATGGTATTGAAATTGAACATTTAGTGGTGTTCCCACAGAATCCCTCTTTATCCGACCACTGTTTGATAACTTTTGAGTTTGTATTGCTGAACTACACGCCATTGGGCAAAAATTTCTATACAAGATGTCTGTCTGATAGTGCTGTAGCTAAATTTAAGGATGCGATTCCATCAGCTCTAAATACATTATCTAGTCACAAAGTAACGGAGGACTCCTATGCTAATTTCAGTCCCTCCCAAATCGATCATCTTGTTGATAGTGCTGCAGGCTCGCTGCGAATGACACTCGACTCTGTAGCCCCTCTAAAAAAGAAAATAATAAAACAAAGACGGTTAGCTCCATGGTATAATACTGAAACTCGCAAATTAAAGCAAATATCGCGGAAACTTGAGAGGAATTGGCGTTCCACCAAAGTGGAAAATTCTCGTTTAATCTGGCAAGATAGTCTTAAAACTTATAGGAAGGCCCTCCGTAATGCCAGAGCAGCGTACTACTCGTCATTAATAGAGGAAAATAGGAACAACCCCAGGTTTCTTTTCAGCACTGTAGCCAGGCTGACAGAGAGTCACAGCTCTATTGAGCAAAGTATTCCCATAGCTCTCAGTAGTTACGATTTCATGAGCTTCTTTAATGATAAAATTCTAACTATTAGAAACAAAATTCACCAAGACCTGCCCTTAACTGGCATCGACTTATCTCTAAACTCAGGAACCTTAGAAACAGCTGTAGAACCAGATACATGTTTAGACTGTTTTGCTTCCCTCAATCTTTACCAACTAACTTCAATAATTTCTTCATCTAAACCATCAACCTGCCTCTTAGACCCCATCCCGACTAGGCTGCTTAAAGATGTTTTACCCTTAGTCAGCACTTCTATGCTAGATATGATCAATCTATCTCTATCAACAGGCTATGTACCACAGTACTTTAAAGTAGCTGTAATTAAACCTCTTCTGAAAAAGCCCAAACTTGATCCGGATGTTTTAGCCAACTATAGACCTATATCTAACCTTCCATTTCTCTCTAAGGTTCTGGAGAAAGCAGTTGCTAAACAGCTGTGTGACTTTCTACAGAGCAATAGTTTATTTGAGGATTTTCAGTCAGAATTTAGAGCTCATCATAGCACAGAGACAGCACTGGTGAAAATTACTAACGACCTCCTTATTGCATCAGACAAAGGACTTGTCTCTGTACTGGTTTTATTAGATCTTAGTGCTGCATTTGATACCATTGACCATCAGATCCTATTGCAGAGACTGGAACATTTCATTGGCATTAAAGGAACCGCTCTAAGCTGGTTTAAGTCCTATTTATCAGATCGATTTCAGTTTGTACATGTTAACGATGAGTCCTCCATGCATGCCAAAGTTAGTCATGGAGTTCCACAAGGATCTGTCCTCAGACCAATCCTTGATAAAGCTTATAGTTAGGGCTGGCTCAGGTGAGTCCTGAACCATCCCTTAGTTATGCTGCTATAGGCCTAGACTGCCTATTGTTATTATTGTTATTATAATCATTAACATTACGATTGTTATCATTAACACTACTATAATTATCTGTACCATTTTTCATTTAGTCTATAGCAACATCTCCTTTACTGTCTTTACCTCTGTGTGTGGATATTGTGTGGGCTGCCTCC